GAAAAAGGAATTGTGCATGATCATTCCCCTTGGGGATGATTTCTAACTTTCTGACTTGTGTGCTCTCTTTCTCTCATGTGTACGTGGACCCACTGGCAAAAATTTAAAAAAAAAAAAAAAGAAAGAAAGAAAAAAAGAAGAAGAAGCAAAAAGCAAAGGGGAGACTGGGATGGTGAGGTTGGTAGAAACAAAGGCTCTCCCCTTTTCAGGTAACTTTTAATTTAACCCAAAGGCATGTCTCAACTTAGAGAATAATTCAGTCCTCAACAGCACCATAAATCTGTTGTGACTTTTCAGTAAAGTAGTAAGAATGTTTAAAATATAAAAGATAAACATCTCATTCAAAAAAAAATTCTTATATCTTCCCAACACCAATTCCTGTTCTAAAGTTAACCTATCACCTGGGCTGTTAATACTTTTTTTTTTTTTTTGGAGCGATTTTCACTGTAGGGCGCGTGCGCTTGCCAGACAGACAGAGAGAGACATAGAGACAGAAAGCGAGAAATCACCCCCCAGGGGGGATGGTCACACAGCAATCCCTTCTCCTCCATTCTCCTCTCAGGATCTTGGGCACGCACGCACACGCGCCCGGCGTGAGTTTTAAGCCACCGGGTCCGGGACACGAACCGCGGTCGACTACGTGGGAGTCCAGCGACATAGCCATTACGCTAACTGCTGGTTCCCTGGGCTGTTAATACTTGACCACATACTTGGAAAACTATATCCAAAAGACTGAATGAAAATAAAATAAAATGAAAAAATTGAGATTTATGACATACAGTTTAGGTAGACACACTTTTGAGGAGAAAGAGGAGGAAATGGAGGTATGGAAAGCAAAACTGAATGATAGAACATGTTCTGTCAGGGTGGATGTTTACACAAGAGTGTAGTGGAACATCAGGAAAGGCTCTGTGTGGATTTGTGTACTTGCATCTGGAGGCACCAGATTCCTCCAGGCAGATATGAGAATAGGAAGCTAAGGGAAGAGGCCATTCTTGATATTCTAGATTTAGAAGTTCCACGTAGAAGATGAGAGTGGCATGTGGTGCAATGATGCCTGGGCGTCCAGTGGCATGTTAGGCATAGTCTGGGGAGATGGTCAGTTGGACTGTCTGACCCACACTTATCTGGGCAACCCCTTCTTCCCTGCCTTGGATCCCCTCCTACTTGCCTTGCATAAACTTAAAGTTCTTGTTTCTGTTCTGGGAGGAATTAGATTTCTTTCTACCTTCAAGTATTCCAGTGTAGGTCTGGGATGCCGTGTAGTGCACCCTGGAGGTCTGGCTGTGCTTCAGGAAGATGGGCCAGTCTGCGGAGGAGATGGTCCCCACCTGCACTCCATGGGCATGGCAGACACACAGCAGGTGGAGGTTGTGACCTCTGGGTGGACCAAGAATGGACCTGGTAGCATTTCCATGGCTCTGCCTCATCCCTGGTGTACTGATTTTAAGTGTACTATTAGTTAGCTCAGATTGCCATAACACAGTATCACAGACTGGGGAGTGTAAACAATAGAAACTGATTGTCTTATAGTTCTGGAGCCCGGGAGTCCAAGATCAAGGTGTTGGCAGGTATGGTTTCACCTGAGGCCTTTCTCTTTGGCTTGTAGACAAATGTCTTCATACTGGTTTCCCTCTTTGTGTGTCTGTGTCCTAATCTGCTCTTCTTATGAGGACACCAGCTTTATTGGATTAGAGCATATCCATATGGCCTCATTTTGACTTAATCACCTTTTAAAAGGTCCATTGTCCAAATATAGCCACATTCTGAATTCCTAGGGGTTGAGACTTCAACATACAAATGTTGTGGGGAGGACAATTTAGTCCATGACCTATTGTCAAATTTTACATTTACATTTTCACAGAAAAGTGAAGATTAGACAGGATGATTCAAGTCCCGAAGGTTGCACTATATTTTTTAATTTACATTTTAAAATTTCATTTTCTTGTGTACATTGAGTCACATTATTTAGCTCACAAAGTGAATATTTCAACATGTGAACATTTCTCCCTAGTCCAGTTTGATTTTAAGTGTACTATTAGTTAGCTCAGATTGCCATAACACAGTATCACAGACTGGGGAGTGTAAACAATAGAAACTGATTGTCTTATAGTTCTGGAGCCCGGGAGTCCAAGATCAAGGTGTTGGCAGGTATGGTTTCACCTGAGGCCTTTCTCTTTGGCTTGTAGACAAATGTCTTCATACTGGTTTCCCTCTTTGTGTGTCTGTGTCCTAATCTGCTCTTCTTATGAGGACACCAGCTTTATTGGATTAGAGCATATCCATATGGCCTCATTTTGACTTAATCACCTTTTAAAAGGTCCATTGTCCAAATATAGCCACATTCTGAATTCCTAGGGGTTGAGACTTCAACATACAAATGTTGTGGGGAGGACAATTTAGTCCATGACCTATTGTCAAATTTTACATTTACATTTTCACAGAAAAGTGAAGATTAGACAGGATGATTCAAGTCCCGAAGGTTGCACTATATTTTTTAATTTACATTTTAAAATTTCATTTTCTTGTGTACATTGAGTCACATTATTTAGCTCACAAAGTGAATATTTCAACATGTGAACATTTCTCCCTAGTCCAGTTGAAAAAACTATAAAATATTTTCAACAGATAACACCACATTTCTTTTATATACAATTCAATTTGGGTTAGAGAATTAGAGGTTCTCTCAGAAGGCTGGGCTGGACTGATATGAAGAGAATGGGACCTTGTTTGAAGAGGTCCCTGGTTGTTGGGAATGATGCTGCTCTCTCCCTAATGAGAGTCCTGGGTAAAGTCAGAGGCCTCTGATGGGCCAGTATCTTCCTGAGTCATTCTGGCTACTGAACAGATAGTCAGGGGTGTGGGATCATGGGTCCAGAGACAGAGGAATGGCTTCAGGGGACCTGAGAAAGAGAGTCCAGAGAATGTGTAGAACAGGGACCCATCAGTCATGTTGTAGAAGGAAATATTTCCAGCATCACAGTCCAGAAAAATACCCACTCTATGGAGGGGCTCAGAAGGATGGAGCCGTATCCTTGGATAGGAGAGAGCCTGGAATCTCTTCTTGTAAAACTCTACCGCCCAAAGGCCATGCTGTGGAGACTTGGGGATCCTTCCCTTCCGACTTAAAGTTTCCAGACACACACCCAAAATCCAAGCTTTCCTGTTCCCCACCTCAACTTCCCAGAAATATCTTCCTGCAGAGAACTGCTCTTTGCCCAGTATGCAAGGATCCTGGTCAAATCTCCTGGGGTTAAGGGAGCAGTCTTGTTCAAAGTGTAGCCGGCTCACACTGTTCTGATCCTCAGATAAGGTGAGCTTGGGACTCATGGTTTCTGGGTCCAGGCATGGGCTCACTGTGGAAAGAGGAAAGAGTCAGATGTTTGGGGTTCAGGGCCCCCGTATTCCCACATGGATTGGAAATCTTATGGTGTGTTTTTCATATCAGGACATTCTCTCCTCCATCTTTGGGAGTCCCTTCACTGTCTCCATGTGCCAGTAACCTGGTCAAATAACCCACCCCCAACAGGTGAGACACACGAAGCTGGAAGCTGAGAAGGGTTCCTGGGAGACAAGAGCATGCCCAGTGTGTGGTGTGATCTGGGCCAGTTCCCAGTGTGTACTAAACTTATTTCACAAACTTGTGCTATGTGTGTGAGAGAAAGATTAAAAAAAAAGAGCGAGAGAAATGGAGGAGATACATATATATATAGAGAGAAAGACTGAGTCAGAGGTAGAGAGAGGGAGAGAGCCAGAGTCAACAAATGGCCAGCCTCATCTGGAAAACTATGAGGGATCTCAGCAGGCCAAGATGCTGAGACAAATATCTTCCCAAACAGACCACATCTGAGAGAAGCCCTTCTCCCTTATTTCTTCACATCTCTTGGCCCTTCTTCCTCGCTCTCTGGTCCATCATCCAACAGGGGTGAGATTCCTCCTTACCGACCTTTTCAGAGCTCCCCACCCTATAGGGCATGACCTAGGTGTGGAGATCTGTCTACATTCAAGTTCTCTAAGGAGAGGAAGTGAGGATATTTTAATAGCAGCCTGGAAACTCATACTTAGCAACAACCGAAATGTATAGGGCTCTACCACTAGAGTGAATGCCTGCCCTTCTCTGCTCTAAAGCCTTACATGCTGTTGTTTGCTTGAGTCTCCGATCAGATGTCCCCGCTTATTCATCATTCCTGAACTTGATATTCTTTCGGAATTGAAACCTTGTTCCATTTCACTTTCTAGCAAAGGTTGTTTCTTCTTTCCCTCTAAATATTTCCAATGTTACTTACCAAATAGATCTTCCTCTTCTTCACCAAACCTGTTATTTGAATCTGAGCTGTGAAGATGATGCTCAGTCAAGCTCTATATCCATTATGGCCATACACTACCTCACTGGCTATTTCTTTCTTCACTGAATCAGCATGACTCCTTATTTCCCTCCATTCCAAATTCTCACATTATTAAAAAGATTTTTAGTTAATCACTTTAAAAATTATTCCAGACTTAGAAAAATTTTTCAAAAAATAGCATAAAGAATATGCATAAGAAGTTTTTTGCATAACTATAGTAAAATGATTAAAACCAGAAATTTACAATGATACAGTACTTTTAAATAACTACAGATTTTTTTTCAGATTTTGCTAACTGTCCCCACCAGATCCTTTCATTTGCCCCTTCTGATTCTTGCCCAGTTTCATCTCCCTGGTCCCTGGTTTTCCATTCCCACAACAGCTCTCCTTATATGCCACGTTAACAAGATTATGTTCAGAGGTGGAAGCCACTGATTTCCCTGCCATCCGTAATAACAGCATCACCCCAGTCCCTGTCTTAGACCCAGCATTTATACTCTCTGGAATATCTGAGAACACACACTCATGTACATTGCATTCACACACATATTCATACACACATGTGCACACAACATGCACATGTACCCATGTATGTATTCATATGAACACATGCACTCATGCTCATGCACACATACGGACACACGCTTGCTCACACATATACCCAATATGTGTGCAAACACATACACATGCTTAAACACATGCTCTCACTCTCATGGACATGCATACAAATAAACATGCACAAACACACATTCATACACATGTGCATGTGCACATGCATACAGAGGCATATTTGTTCACATATATGCAGGAACAAGCATCAGAATGCAGACTGAAGCCAGAGATGCTCTACAGTTGTCTTCTTGTTGCCCTCATTCATCCCTCTCTGTCTCATTGAGTAACTCTGGGCTTCTTAGCTCCATTAGAAATGAGTACATGAGGGAGAAAAATTAAGACATAAATGTCATTGAAGGAAGAACTTTTCTGCCCCTTTCTTTTCCCCTGAGACCAGATCTGATTTCATGGTCTCTAGAGCAAATATCCCCCTATCCCTCAACCTTTCATCCCTGCTTGATGGAATTAGGTCTGTGGTTCATGCTCCCTTTGCACTTAGAGACCCATGTCAGTGGTGGGACTTGGGATGGCCTGGGATGCAAAGGATCCAAATCTCCAAACATGACCCTCACCATACATCACGTCACTCTCTCTCCAACCTGTAATGAAACAGAAAGATGTAAAATTGTGGGAGTGAGTTTATGAAAATGGAACCAAAGCTTACATTTTGGAAAGCTAAGTCAAAAGAGAACTTTCTGTGCTCTTCCTGGAGTTGTTCTACAAAATAAGAACAAATGAATATCCTTTAATATTCAGTAAGACAATAAGGGAGGTAGTCTTATATCTAAGGAAAGCTGTGTATATAGAATAGTTCATTGGCCCTAGTCTTTCTTCAACCTTCCCAAGTCTTTCATAATACATTCTTTATTACCAACTGAGGAGTAATCTCTACTCCTAAAATATGGGTCTGAAATCTAGAGACAAGTCCTCAGATCCTGAAATGACACATAAGGAAGTGAGTGGAGAGGTGAATGAAACAATCAATATTAAGGATCATAATGATCACAAAAACAAACACTCCCATGCACCAGGATCTGCTGTGGATGCTATTGTGTTGGTCACTACCACAATCTGCAGAAATGATATTACCCTCAACAGATAGACAAACTCAGGGTTCATATTGAGCTCTATTATTCAGCACCTGTCCAAGTTAGGGCTCAAGCTCAGATCTGTTTATTTTCAAGGAAGCCAACCAGCTTGCCTATAAACCTCTACTGAAGAATAATCAAGGGATCTGTAAAGGATAGATGGTTTTCACTAGGAACACTGTAATTGGGCAATTCCAGAGCTGGAATCTCCATCAGCCATTTCATTCAGACTGTCTGAGGACACAAAGACAAAGCTTTGGCTCAGGGCTTCAAATCAGGCGTGAGGGGAGCAGGATCCATCCTGCCAGAGCTCCCTGCTTACCATAAAACAGCTTGCCGTTTTCCCTGCTGGCTTGCTGCCTGTGTTCCTGTTCTCTTTGCTCTCTCATTTCCAGTTGTTTCTTACTCTTTTCCCTTTGACGTTTCCAGAAAAAGCAGATGATGCCAACTATTAGGAGTCCCAACACACTGAGGACCAGAGGTAGAGCTACTTTCCACACGATAAATGCAAATCTTCTTGAAAAGGGAGCTAAAGGAGATTTCAGGAAATCAAGAATATTAGGGCGAGGCTGCCAGTGGCTGCAGGCTCTAACAGCCAGGACCCATTGCTCCTCCCCTCCCCTACTTCTCTCTGGACTTCAAGTTTGTTTCTCGGGACTTCAAGATGAACTTGCACCCCTCCCTATCCCATCTGGAGACTGGTTCAAGTCAGCGGCATTGCCAGACGCCAAACTGCTTGTGGCTGCAGGCCCTAATGGCCAGGACCCATCACTCATCCTTCGCCCCTTCCCCACTTGCCTTTGGACTATCAGAATTTCAGTGTTTTTCTTTGTTCCTGAGGTGAAGCTCATTAGGTCAGTTGGAGGCTCACCACTCCTTAGAAACAGGGAAGAGTTTGGGTCACCCAGGATCAGTGACAACAGTACATGGTACTGGTGAGCAGCAGGTAGGCAGACCAGAAGAGAGATCACCCATTTTCTAATCCTGCACACCTTTTAACACTCAGAGATATCTTGAATAAGTTAAGAAGGAATGTGTAGATCACCAGATGACTAGGAACAATCACAGAAGCTCAAGAAATATGAGCACCCAACAAAATGCCTCTCCCCCAAGGGAAATCATCAAGCCCATATCACCCATGGTCGATACAATGAATATCGTGGACATGTTGGATAAACAATTAAGAATATTTGTAGTGACCAAACTAACTCAGATGGAAGAGAAAAGAGACAATGAGTTCCAGGAGATGAAGAAGTCCTTTCATGATTTGAAAGAAGAAACAGACACCTTAAAAAAGAACCAGATGGAACTTCTAGGGTTGAAGAATGTGATACAAGAAATCAAAACCTCCCTTGAAAGTATTAAAAGTAGATTAGATTAGGCAGAAGATCGAACCTCGAATGTAGAAGACAAAACATCTGACCTAGAAAAAAGTATCAAGAAGATTGAGAAAATAACCAAGAAAAATGAGGATAATATGCAAGGAATACTGGATACCATCAAGTGCCCCAATATTTAGATAATTGGTATCCCAGAAGAGGAAGAAAATAATAAGAGCACTGATAATTTATTCTATGAAATCCTGGAAGAAAACTTTCCAAATCTAGAAAGGCATTCAAATATCCAGACCCAAGAAATACATAGGACCTGGAATAGAATCAACCCAAGAAGATGCTCTCCAAGGCACATTATAGCCAGATTGGCAAAAACAACTGACAAAGACAAGATACTAAAGTTGAGAAGAGGGAAACGTCAAGTTACTTACAAAGGTCGCCCCATCAGGCTAACGTTGGACCTCTTGGTGGAAACAATGCAGGCAAGGAGAAAGAGTGGGGAAATACAGTCAAAGTGTTGAATGAAAAAAAATTTCAACCTAGAATACTATACCCAGTGAGATTATCCTTCATATGGGGAAAAAAAGATAAAAACATTATCAGATTAACAAAATCTGAAGGAATTTACCAACTCCAGACCAGCTCTTCAAGAGGTTCTGAAGGGAGTGCTTCACTAGGAAAACTAAAAAGTCATATGGACAGTTACAAGAGAATAAAAAGCAACCAAATAAATGACTCACTTAATGATAAAAACAGGTCCAGAAATATAGATAGCAACATTGAATGTTAATGGATTAAATTCTCCAATTAAGAGGCACAGACTGGCCAAATGGATAAAAAAACCAGAAATCCTCTATCCGTTGCCTACAAGAAACTCACCTTATGTATAAAGACATACATAGACTAAAAGTGAAGGACTGGAAAAAGATATTCCATGACAATAGAAATAAAAAAGGGACTGGAGTTGCGATATTGATTTTAGACAAAATAGACTTCAAGTCAAAGACTGTAAGAAGAGACAAAGAAGGTCATATATAATAGTAAATGGGGGTAATTCAGCAAGAAGACATAATGCTTATAAATATCTATGCACCCAACTCAGGAGCACCTCAATATGTGAAGGAAAGACTGCTGGAGCTGAAAGGAGAGATAGGGAGAAACACTATAATTGTTGGGGATCTCAACACTTCATTCGATCCTTTAGAAAGATCTTCTAGGCAAAAAACAAACAGAGAGATACAGGACCTAAATTATACTATAAATTGAATGGACTAGATAGCTATCTATAGAACTTTCCACCCTAAGACCAAAAAATAAACATTTAAACACTATAATTGTTGGGGATCTCAACACTTCATTCGATCCTTTAGAAAGATCTTCTAGGCAAAAAACAAACAGAGAGATACAGGACCTAAATTATACTATAAATTGAATGGACTAGATAGCTATCTATAGAACTTTCCACCCTAAGACCAAAAAATAAACATTTTGGAACCTTTTCAAAGATTGACCATATGTTAGGACACAAATCAAGCCTTTACATATTTAAAGGCATAGAAACTATATCCAGCATCTTCTCTGAACATGATGAAATTAAACTCAAGATTAATTTCAAGAAACACTCACCCTCAAAAATACACAAACAAATGGAAACTGAACAACCTACTTCTAAATTACTTCTTAACTACTGAAGAAATTAAGTCTGAAATAAAAAAATTTATGGAAACAAATGATAATGAGTATACGAGTTTCCATAATCTATGGGACACGGCAAAAGCAGTTAGAAGAGGGAAATTCATAGCAATTAGTGGGCATAAGAAAAAGATGGAAAGATGGCAAATAGATAAACTAACATCATACCTCAGGGAATTGGAAAAACAACAACACAACAAAAATGCCAGGCGAAAAGAAATAATAAAGATTCAAGCAGAAATAAACGAAATAGAAAATAAACAACACAGAAAATAAATAAAAGCAAAAGCTGGTTCTTTGAAAAGATTAACAAGATTGACACACCATTGGCTAGACTGATAAAGAAGAAGAAAGAAAGAAACCAGATAAATCAAATATGTGATAAAACAGGTAACATTACAATGACATAATAGAAATATAAAATATCATTAGAGGATACTATGAGCGACTATAAGCCAAAAAAACAGATAACTTAGAGGAGATGGACAAGTTCCTGGATGCTATAATCTACCAAGATTGAATCAGGAGGACATAGAAAATCTGAATAGGCCCATAACAAGCCAGGAAATTGAATCAGTAATAAATAACCTCCCTACAAAGAAAAGCCTAGGTCCAGATGGCTTCACTTCTGAATTCTACAAAACTTTTAAGGAAGAGTTAATCCCTATCCTACTCAAATTATTTATAAAGATTCAAAAGGAAGGAAACCTTCCAAATTCACTTTATGAAGCCTCCATCATCCTCATTCCCAAAACAGATAACTACATGACAAAAAAGGAAAACTACAGACCAATATCATTGATGAAGATAGATGAAAAAATTCCCAACAAGGTACTCACAGATAGTATCCAACAACATATAACAAAAATTATTCATCTCAACCAGGTAGACTTTATCCCAAGGATGCAAGGATGGTTCAACATATGCAAGACCATAAATGTAATACACCACATTAACAGAAAAAAAAGATAAAAACCATATGATCATCTCAATTGATGCAGAGAAAGTATGTAATAAAATACAACATCCTTTCATGATTAAGAGCCTCAGTAAGATTGATATAGAAGGGTCATTTATCAACACAATAAAAGCTATCTATGAAAAACCTACAGCTAACATTATACTGAATGGGGAAAAGCTAAATAAATGACTCACTTAATGATAGAAACAGGTCCAGAAATATAGATAGCAACATTGAATGTTAATGGATTAAATTCTCCAGTTAAGAGACACAGACTGGCCAAATGGATAAAAAACCAGAAATCCTCTATCCATTGCCTACAAGAAACTCACCTTATGTATAAAGACATACATAGACTAAAAACTGGTACCAGTTTTTAGTGGAAAAACTAAAACAACAACAACACTAAAAACTGGTACCAGGCAAGGCTGCCCAATTTCTCCACTGCTTTTTAATACAGTGCTGGAAGTCTTAGCTAATACAATCAGAAAAGAGAACAATATAAAAGGCATTCAAATAGGCAAAGAAGAGTTGGAAATATCTTTATTCACAGATGACATGATAATATACTTAGAAAACCCAAAGGTCTCCATGAATAAAACTTCTCAAAGTAATAAGTGAATACAGTAAAGTAGCAGGATACAAAATCAACATACACAAATCTATAGCATTTCTATATTGAACAACAAGTTGAACAAAGTAGAGCCGAAGAAAGGAATCCGTTCACCATAGCCACAAAAATGTATAAGGTACCTAGGGATAAACCTAATTAAGGAAGTCAAAGACCTTTATAAAGAAAACTGAAAATCTTAAAATATATATTGAAAGTGACATAAAAAAGTGGAAGGACATCCCATGTTCATGGATTGAAAGAATTAACATAATCAAAATGGCAATTCTATCCAAATTATTCTACATATTTAATGCAATTCCAATAAAAATACCAGAGATATTCTTCACAGATCTGGAAAAGACAATCATAGAATTTGTATGGAATCATAAAAGACCTTGTATTGCCAAAGCAATCCTGTGTAAGAAGAATAGAGTGGGAGGCATATCACTTCCTGATTTCAAGATATACTATAAAGCTGTGATCATCAAAACAACATGATATTGGCACAAAAACAGACATGTGGACCAATGGAATAGAATAGAGACCCCAGAAATAATCCCCAAAGCCTACAACCAACTGATTTTTTGACAAAGGATACCAGTCAATCCATTGGGAAAAGGAAAACCTCTTTAGTAAATGGTGCTGGAAAAACTGGTTATCCACTTTCAGAAAGATGAAACTTAACCCCCATCTTTCACCATTAACAAAAGTCAACTCAAAATGAATCAAAGATCTGAACTTAAGACCTCAAACTATAAAACTACTAATGGAAAATGCTGGGAAAACTCTGAGAGAAAATGGAGTAGGCAAAGACTTCTTAAATAAGACTCCCAAAGCAAGGCAATAATCCTTAAAATAGACAAGTGGGTCTATATCAGACTAAGAAGTTTCTGAACAGCAAAGGACACAGTAACAAGAATAAATAGATGGCCTCAGAATGGGAGAATATTTTTGTAAAATATGCCTCAGACAAAGAACTGATAACCAGAATACACAGAGAACTCAAGTGCCTTATTGGGAAAAAAAAAAAAAAGATTAACCCAATTAAAAGTTGGAAAAATGAGCTGAACAAAAATCTCTCTAAGGAAGACATACGAACAGCTTAAAAGCATATGAGGAGATGCTCAACATACCTCATCATAAGGGAGATGCAAATTAAAACCACAATGAGATACCACCCTGTCAGAATGGCAAAGATTAAAAATACAAAAAGTGATAAGTATTGGCGGGGGTGTGGGGAAAGGGGAACTCTCCTCTACTGTTGGTGGGAATGTAAACTGTTTCGGCCACTGTACAGAACAATTGGGGGATTCCTCAAAGATCTACAAATAGAACTACCATTTGATCCAGCAGTCCCACTTCTGAGTATCTACCCAAAGGACAGCAGAATGCTCAGTCAGAAAAGCGCTCGCACACCAATGTTTGTTGGAGCATTATTCATGATCAATAAGACATGGAACCAACTCAAATGTCCACGAACTGATGAATGGATTGAAAAAGCGTGACACATATACTCTATGGAATACTACTCAGCCATAAAAACACAAGACCCTAGCATTTGATAGAAAGTGGTTGGATATGGAGGATCTGTTGCTGGGTGAAACAAGCCAGGATATGAAAGAAAGATACTGTATGTATCCACTTAATATATACCGACTATCCACACTTTATGGTGGAGATAGAAATATTGGAGGGCATAAAAGCAATGAAAACAGTTAGCGATGATAAGACAGTGTGGAATGGGGTGGGAGAAGAGAAGAGTATGGAGAAGGAGAGCAAGAGAACAACTAGAGAGGCATGACATTAGTGGAACATAGATATGGTTTATTATCTGTTGATTGATTACATGTATAGTATTCTCAACTGGACTAGTCTGAGAAGTATTTCATGTTGGATAAAGTCTTTTTACAAGCAAAATGATAAATAGTTATTGAATGTTTAAAAAATAATCGGAATAATAATGGTAATCTGGAAAAAATAATGAAAAGCTATTTGATTATGGGGGTTTTAATGTCTTTGTATTGCCTGATATGCATGGTATTCCTTCTAGAAAAAGAATGTAATATACTATAAAGTTATATGTGATTCAATGTAGTATAAATAAGATTATGATAATAATAAATGAATTTTAAAAAAGAACATTAGGGTGAAAGAGCATTTTTGTTCCTTGGACAATATGTGCTTCAGGATTCATGGGTCAAGAAATGCAGTATTTTCAAACTAATCTGAAAAAGGTTTTAAAAAGTGCATGCATCTGTATAGAAGGTGCTATGGTCTGAAAATGTGTGTCCTCCCCAAATTCATATGCTAAAACACTGATCCCCAGTGTGATGATATTGGGAGGGCAACGTTTGGGAGATTATTAGGTCATGGAGGGTGGAACCCTCATAAATGAGATCAGGTACCCTGAAAAGCTCCCTTGACCCTCTACTATGTGAAGAGTCAATGAAAAAACACTGTTTATGAACCAGGAAGCAGATCCCCACCAGACAGAATTTGCTGCCACTTTGATCTTGGACTTCTAGTCTCCAGAACTGTGAGAAATAAATTTCTGTTGTTTACAGGGTACACAGTTTATAGCATTTTGTTATAGTACCCCAAATGAACCAAGACAGTTGGGTATAAATACATACCTCAGAGATAGATATTATCTACCTATTTATTTGTAGACAGAAAAAGAGAGACACATGATTAAAAAGTGACAGAATGTTAAAATGTGGTTACTATGAGTAAAGCATTCACAGATTTCTCTGTATTATTATTGCAGATTTCCTGAAGTTTGCTATCATTTAGAAAATTAAAAGGGAAAGTTTTTATAAAAAGCTAAACTTCAGCAATCAAGATGTCCTTTAGGAGACGAATGACTGAATAAACTGTGGTCCCTCCAGATGATGGAATACTATTCAGCACTAAAAATACTGAACTATTAAGTTATGAAAAGGCTTAGGGAAACCTTAAATGCATATTACTAAGTGAAAGAAGCCAATCTGAAAAGGCTACATACTAGGTCATTCCAACTATATGACATACCGAAAAAGGGAAAAATGTGGAGACAGTAAAAACAAAATCAGTGGTTGCAGGAGAGAGTGGGACAAATAGGCAGAGCACAGAGGATCTTTAGGGCAGTAAAAATATGCCATCATATGGGGCCAGTAGGAGGCGTGGTGGTTAACCACATTGCTCACCATGGTTGGAGTCTCAGACCTGGCAGCTTGCTTTCTCCCTTTCCCTTTCGCTCTGTCTCTCTCTGGTCAAGTTAAAAAATAATAACAAATGGAATTTAATAAATAATTAGTTTTTTAAAATATGCCATCATATATTTTTCTGAACTCATAGAACATTCATCACCACAAGTGAGCCCTAATGTATAATATGGGCTTTGAGAGATAATGAATTGCCAACGTACCACTCTGGTGCTCGACTCTTACAGTGGGGAAGCTCTATGTGTGGGGAAAACAGGGAAATATGAAAAAAATCTATGTACTTTCTGCTCCAATTTGCTGTGAATCTAAAACTGCTCTGAAAAATAAAGTCTAATAAGAAAAATATATTTAAAAAGTTGCTATTGGACCAGCCAGGTGGTATGGTGGTTGGGTGGCTGGATGCCCCATTGTTGAGTGCATGGTTCAAGCCCCAGATCTGGCAGCTTTGAAAATACACTGAACATGCGTACATGTGTGCATGTCCAAAATCCCAAGAGAAGATTGGAGGAGAGAGGATTGTGGCTTGATTTCTCACTTTCTCTTTCTGTCTCTTCAGTGAGTACATGTGCCAAAGCAAAAAACAAACAAACAAACAAACAAAAACAAACAAACAAACAAAAAAACAAAACAAAAAGAGGATATTTAGGTATACTTTTGTGTCTCCCCAGAAGCCCAGAGCTCTCCTGGAGGCTCTTTCTATAGCCCCAACTCTGCTCCATTCCAGTAAACAACACCTGAATTGTGTATTTACCCAGGTCTCACCAACCAGGCTGTGGCCAGTGACCTGCTACCTTGCTTCCTCTTACTATTGACCCCACAGCAACCTCCTGGTGTCCCTGGCATTCTGGGCCGTGAGTGCCTGTGCTCAGCGATTTTGAGAACAGAATTCAACAGGATACTTACTATGTAGGTGCTTCCTAGCCACCTTCCACTCAGAGAGGAGGGGGTTTGAGATGAAACAGAAGAGACCTTCCACAGCCCTGTCCTGGATGGTCACTCTGGATGCCACAGCAAAGAGGCCGGTGCTGTTTGAGGCTGAGAAATTAGTTACAGAAGGTATTGTCTGTCCCCTGAAATCTTTCCACTCCACCTCAGGCTCTGGATACCAGCCCATTGAAGTACATTCAGCCTGGGTACCTTTGTCCTTTTCATCAGTGACTTGTATTGTAGGCTCTGAGCCCAGCCCTGAAAGAAGAAACATCAGCTAGAATCTTTGCAGCCATGGCTCTTTCCATCAGAAAAAAAAAAAATGCTGAGTTTCCAGTAGATATTAGCAATTTTCTACAAACTACCTATCATAAGTAAAATGTATAGCCCTAATATACTACTCCCATTTTCTAGATAAAAGGGAAAAGAAAACCAGAAAAGATTCAGGAAGATTAAATGTCTCCTCCTATGTAGCCAAGCTTATAGTGCAGTGGTTTGGGGAGTCAGATCCTACATGGCTGACCATGATTTGAATTCTGGTCTTGTGACTTGAAAAACATGCCAGGCATATGTGCATGAGTGCCCCAAACCTTGATGGGATGGAGAAAGGGAGGAAAGGGGATCATGGAATGACTACACTCCATTGAAAGGTACTTTCTTTTTCTCTCTCCCTCTTTCTCTCTGATGAGTGCACATGTCCTCTGGCAATATATTGGGTTATTACAGAAATGTAGAAAAATATGTCATGACTTTTCTGATGACTATACACACTTGCACACATTTTTAAAAAATAACGAATAATGAAGATCAGAAATTTCTTCCTATGGAAACATAAAGCATATAAACAATGGTAAAACAAAAGTAAGTTGTCTAAAATACACAGTAAAAATGTCACTGTATCTTCTCATTGAACATTTTTCTCTATATTGAGTGTAGATTTATTACATCAAAACTTGGACCCTTGGAAAACAAAACAAAAAAAGAGTTTTCTTTTAATAAAAAAAACTTGGTGTTTTAAAAAAAGTCTCCTATGTCACAAAATTAACACGTGTAGAGAATAAGACAGAATTCAAGTGTGTCTGACTTTAAAGCATAAACTCTGAGTCACGCAGAAAACTTCTCTCATATCCCCAAAACACTTGTGTCTCCTTTCTCTATTTGTCTTTCTCACCTCACTTCTTTCTCTGTTTATATCTCTCCACTTTTCTTTTCCCCTCTTGTCTCCCCTTCTCTCTGTCTTCTCTTTTTCTCTCTTTCTTCTTTTCCTCCCTCATTCTCCCCCTGCCTTCCACCTCTCTCCAACTTAATAATATAACTAAGGGAAGGGATATTAGAAAACAGTTTGGTGTTTGGAACTATGTTGCCCTAGAGATACAGCCAGTGTAAAAGCACCTGGGTGTGCTTGGAAGCATGTGTTGTGACAAGTTCTCCAACTTTAGAACTCAAGGTTATTCTAGAAGTGATCACCTAGAATTGATACCAAAACTATGAGAGAAGTTCATGGGAAGATCAGACTATCAAGCACGCTGGCCCTTACCTGCCACCCTCAGCCACATGATGGCACTGTTGGAGTGTGTGCCATCTTTGAACTGGCAATGATAAGTCCCATTATCAAACGCAGTAACATTATGTATTCTCACTGCAGCTTCACCCATGGTCACACGGTCACTCACAAAAGTCGTCCTTCCTTGATACTCTGCCATTTGCTCTCCATACACATCCTTCCCTTTCTCGTACATGTGTACAGCTGGGGAGGGCTGGTCCCTGTACCATCTCAGCTCCATGTCCTCAGCACTGATGTTGGGGAACAGGTGGCACCATAGCTCTGTGTCTTCCCCCACTGTGGCCAGAACAGGGTCACCAGGTCCAAAGACATCAAATTCAGCTTTCCCTTAGGAAGGTAGAGCCACAAGAACTGGATTAGGCCTACACATGCCCCACATTTGTCTTTGAGGAGGTAAGAATTCCTCAAATCCTGAGTTGCAATGGGAAGTCCCCCCCCCCAACTCTATTCTGGGAATTTCCCTTCTTATGCTGGGGCACCCTCCTAATGTTGAAAAGAGAAGCTCTCCTACCATTTCTACAGATGCCAGCAGGCAGGAACTGCAGGAAGATGAGGGCGATGATGCAGATTGGTAAAAAGGCATCTCGACAATGTGTGTTTGCCGTCCCTGCTGGGGTCAGAGAGACACATGAAGCAGGACATCTATCAGACTAGGGAAAGGAGCCAACACCAGGAAGTTAAAGGAGCAAAGGAAAAATATCCTTGGAAGAAAGAGGTCATTTGTTCTCACTTATTAACAAGCTATTAATCCTAGAATCAGAAAGACCAGCATGCCTAATCTGTTGTTATATCCTTCTACTAATAGACAACATTCCTCATGCAGTCATTCTTCTGCAAGTTCCTTGGAGACATCCTGGAACGTCAATGGGTTTTATTTTCTACCCTACTTATGTAAGAGTTATTTCCCAATCTCTGGCCATGTACTGTTGTGAAACTTGAGAATGCTGGTGGAGAAAACACAAACTTTGATTAAACATGTCTGAGGTCAAAACCATTCAGTGGAATGTTATTAAGGGAATATCATTCCTTTAATATCTTCTGCTTTCCCACTATCCCTAAGATGACTTCTATAGTTGAAGGGCTTTGGTGGGATGGACATAAATCTTAAAGCTGCTTGGGAAGGACTGTTGTACCAAGACACTTAGTTTTAGTATTGATTATAAACTCAATTTAGAGAGTGAGCGTTTGGAAATGCCGGCTTGGAGCATTTCTACTCAGCACAACCTTATAAGATTGACATTTGTGTGTGCGACTAAGGCTTTTTTTTTCCCCCCCTGACTCTTGCTGTGTGTTTTTTTTTTTTTTTTAGATTTTTTTGCTATAGGGCGCTGCACTTGCCAGAAAGAAAGACAGAGAGACAGAAAGTGAGAAATCACCCCCCAGGGGGGATGGTCATGCCACAATCCCTTCTCCTCTGTTCTCTCGGGATCTTGGGCATGTACGCATCTGTGCCTGGTGGGAGTTTAAGCCACCAGGTCTGGGACTCGAACCACAGTCGACTACATGGGAGTCCAGTGACATAGCCATTATGCCAAATAGGACAATAACCTTTACCCTTATATAGGCAAAGGCTATTGTCCTATTTGGTTCTTACCTTCTCTGAAAGCTGTTGAGGTCTTCTTGCCCCTCAAGGAAAGTGGAGAAAGCAAAGACTTAGATAAGTACTCTTAAAATAGAAAATACTTACCCATTCCTGAGTCCAGCTACAGGCTTCTCAGGGAAGTCCTGGTCACACTGACGAATTCAGGTTAGGTTCCTGCCGGCTTCAGACAAAGTATCATGCAAGTGAACTACAGTGTCTCCAGGTGATGGTATGACTGAGGAGTCTAGCATAAGCAGCCAAGTTCCACAGTTTCTGTAGAATTCTCCTATTACTTTCTTGCAAAAATAATCAACTGTGCCTTTTTGTCAGTTACAACAGAAAAAAAGGGACTAACTAATGGGTGTGGTCAACAGTACACTGAGGGTTGAGGAAAAAGATGCTGGTAGCCAGAGATAAGGGGAGAGACCATGACCAAGCAAGGTGGCCTACACAAGGACAGCCATTGGGGCCAGCTTGGAGCCAACTTCAGGAGTTCTTAAGGACACAAAAATCTTCAGTGCTAGTAACCAGGGACACACAGAAACTGGGGAATTAAGATAAAGTTCCTTAGTTACCTAGACACCTTTGGACCTGGCCAAGCTAGGGCCTAGTTTCTTTTTTCTTTTCTTCTCTTTTTTCCTTCCTTTCTTTTTTTTTTTTCTTCTAGAGAGGTTTTAGCAAAAATAGGGCATGTGCGCTCACCAGAAAGACAGAGAGAGAAAGACAGAGAGATAGAAAGTGAGAAATCACCCCCCATGGGGGATGGCCACGCTGCAATCCCTTCTCTATTCCTCTCAGGATCTTGGGCACACACGCACACGCGCCTGGCATGAGTTTAAGCCACCAGGTCCAAGACTCGAACCACGGTAGGCTACATGGGAGTTCAGCGACATAGCCATTATGTTAACTGCTAGTCCCCAGGCCTAGTTTCTTTAAGAACTTTGTTTATAATTATGTTCAAATACTCTAATTCCTAATTTGTCCTCAGAGATTCCTGTCCAGAAATTTAGGCCACTCTTTCTCCACTGTCCTCTGTGACTGTAGGGTCCTGGAAGTCTGTTCTTATTAGAAGCTCCCCTTGGACTGGGCTTAGAACATTCATTCACCTTCTCTACACCTGAGTAAGGCACTTGGCTTAAACCATATCCCCTTCTATTGTTCTGTCTTAGTGTCTAAAAAGTCTGAATATTTTTCTGAAAGGTTGCGGCAAGAAAAGAGGTGCAGGGAAGGAGTGCCCCATCTTCTTGGAAGATGAGGTTTTTAATTAAGCAGAGAAGTGCTGAAGACTCTGATGTACCCTGCTCCGCGCTGTTGACTGCTGAGCAAATCCAAATACCAAATCCTCCTCTACCATCTTTCTCAGGGGGAGTATCTTTTTGGTAAGCCAGTTGTTTCCTCTCTCTGTATAAACATATACATTATGTCTGTTCATTTACATCATATTGTGAATTGCTTTAATTAGATAATGACATCATCTAAAACTCAACTCATTTGTTCTTATGAGTTGGGAAGGAGGACTTAGGCTATAGCAATTTAGAGAGTGTCCCTAATATTAATTGTAATAAAAGCAGAATAACTTGCTTGCTTTTAGGAAAGGAATGGTCTGAGTATTTGGAGAAGTGGGTAATCCTTGACTGTGAATAAGAAAACCCTCTGAAGGAGGTGTGGGTTCCTGGGCAATGGAGGACTGGTCTTTGCTGTGCAGGAGTTCATGCTGACCACAGCCATTCAACTGCACAGTGAGAGCTACAGGAGACACTTTCACCCCAACCTACCCCAGATGCAATGTCTAAAGTGTAAAAGTAAGGAGCAGACAATAAGTTAGATGTAAAAGGCCCCATATTTATGATTCCATTTATATAAAATGACCACAACAGGAAAAGCCAGAGTGAGGAAACAAATGAACAGCTGGCTATCAGATACTTGGGGAATCAGGGAAAAGTGGGGTGGAAATGGAAATGGGGGTTTTATTTTAGGATGATTAAAATATTTTGGAACTATTGGGTCATTGGAAAAGCCATGACACATTTTTGCACAGAAAAACAGAAAAAATACATCATGGCTTTTCTGATGACCCAATAGATAGAGGTAGTGGTTGTATAATATTGTAAATGTACTAATGCCACCAAATGGTATATTTTTAAGTTAATTTTATGTTAGAAACAGCAGATGGCATAATGGTTACATCTCTGGACTTTCAAATGTTCAACCATGGCTCAAGTCCCAGACCTGATGATTTGGAACTCACACAGGGCGTGTGTGTGTGTGTGTGTGTGTGTGTGTGCGTGTGCACTCAGCATCCTGAGGGGGGAATGGAGGAGAAGGGACTGAGGTGTGGTCATCCTCTTTGGGGAATGATTTCTTGGTTTCTGTCTCTCTCTGTCCCTCTGGTGAATGCACATGCCTATAGTAAAAATCTCTCAAAAATTAACTTTATGTTATGTGAATTTCACCTCAACTGGACAAAAAGAATACAAGAAAAAATTTAAGAAAAAAGAAAAAAAAGCAAGGCATAAATAATAAAACAAGAAAAAAGAAGCACTGAAGACAAAGAGCTGCATGACTACCCCCTTTAAAAAAATAAAATAAAAGATAGGCGGACCAGCAGTTGGCATAATGGCTGTGTATCTCAACACCCATGTAGTTGACTGTGATTCAAGCCCTGGACCTGGTAGCTTAAACTCACACTGGAGGCATGTGCATGCATGTTCAAGATCATGAGAGGAGAATGGAGGAGAAGGGATTGCGGCATGGCCTGGGGGATGATTTCTCACTTTCTGTCTCTCTCTGTCTTTCTGGCAAGTGCATGCACCCTGTAGCAAAAAAAAAAAAAAAAAAAGAAAAAAAAAAGAAAAGAAAAAAAGATATTTAGGATGTTTCATCAACATTATTAAAGATGGAATTTTTTTTGAATCTGGAGTTTGCTGCAGGAATCTGTGTGTCACTACACCAGCCTCCTTTCCCCTTTTCTTTTGTGAGTCCTTAGAATCAGGTAAGATTAAGACCCTGGAATTTGATAGAAAATGGTCAGATATGGAGGATCTATTGCTGAGTGAAGTAAGTCAGGCTATGAAAGAAAGATATTGTATGTATCCATTCAATATATACCGACTATCCACACTCTATGATAGAGAGCAAAAAATTGGAGGACATAAAAGCAGTGAAGGTACTTAATGAGAATAGGGCAGTGTGGAATGGGGGAAGTGAAGAGAAGAGGATAGAGAAAAATAGCAAGTGAACAATAGAGAGGCAGGACGTTAGAGAGAAACAGATATGGCTTATTAACTGTTGATGATGACATGTATAGTATTCTCAACTGGATTGGTCTGAGAAGTATTTCATGATGGTCAAAGTATTTTTACAAGCAAAATGAGAAATAGTGATTGACTGTTTAATTAGAATAATAATATTATTATTATAATATTATTATTATTCTAATAATTAGAATAATAATAATAATGATTGGGGAAAACATAGAAAAGATATTGAATGTTGAAGTGGGGAGATTAATGTCTCTGTACTGACTGACAGGCATGGCATTCCCTTTTGAAAAAACAATGTAATACACTGTAAAGTTATATGTAATCCAATGTAATATAAAGAAGATTATGATGATAAGAAAAAAAAAGAAAAAAAAAGAATCAGGTAAGATTTTCTGTCTAGACCAAGTTTTCATGCATGCTCCCCACCTTCATCTACTCTGGGCTGGGTACTAGCTTTGCTCCCTGAGCCCCAGCTTGTACTCTCTTCTCTCAAATCCCCTTTGAAAATAGTTCTACCAGGGTTTTACTATAGCCTTTCTATCTTTTCTACAATAAGGGCAGGTCCATAGGAACATATTCATAGAATAAATTACTCTGTCTTCCATTCCACCACTCCCCACCTTGCCTCCCTACACAAATGTTCTACCTCCCATGGCCCCGGGACTGTGTGCACAGTGTTTTTAGTTCCTCTAAGCATTTAAAATGGTCATCCAAACCATAGATAACTAGGTTCACCATAGATAATTAGGTTCACTCTTTCTTAGATCATAAATTAACTCTCTGAGGCTTTATAACTTCTATATACATATTGTCTAGTCCAGAAACCAAGGGGTGGATATCTTGTAAGAGCAATCATCTTTTCAAAATTTCCCTAAATCTCTCTCTCTTTGATGCAAAATTTTACTTTTTCTCAATATTACATAAAGTGCAATGTAAATGTGACTAGAAGATTCTCCTTATAAGGAGATTACAAACCAGCCCCTCCCACAAGGCATTTCAGCATTGCCCTTGTGCCTTATACTTTAGAAACCAAATTTGTTGAATAACAGTGGATAGGTGTCATAAAGAGTAAAAACTATAGGCTGACTCTTTTTGAGGAGACAGAACTGAAAGAAAGAGGAGACACTGAATACTTTAGGATTAAGAAGTGGTCATCTAATTGGTACTGAAACCATGAGAGAAGCTTATGGGAAGATAAGACTACCCAGCATGCTGGCCCTTACCAGCCACCTTCAGCCACATGGTGGCCTCACTGTAATGTAATGATATCTCACCATGGAGTGAGAGAAGAAAATACCGAAATTCTTATCTAAGTTATTTTATCTTATTTCTATTGTTGTTAAAGACAGGGTCTTTCTGTGCCATGATCCTCCTACCTCAGCTTCCCAGCTAGGACAAGAGACTATAGGTTTGTGCCACCATTCCCAACTCCTTCATGCAGGGTCTTGCTATGTTGTCCATATTGGCCTCAAACTCAGGATCCCCCTGCCTCAGCCTCCTGAGTTGAGATTACAGGTGTATCCCACTGTACCTGGCCCTTATGTTGGACTAGGAATTGCACTAGGGCCTCCTGTATGGTTTCAGCCTTCAGAGCAGTGTCTTAGCAGCACATGCTACTGGAGCTGGGCTTCTGATTATTTTTATTTATTTATTTATCTTAAATTGTAGTTTCAAATTTACATATAATAGTTGTACATTTGTAAGTCCTTATGCCCATACTATACTGTTCCAATGACTGTATTTTAAAATCAGAGCGAGACCTCCAACGTTGTCTTCTTTTCAATATTGTATTGTCTATTCGCAATTCCCTGAAATTTCATATAAATTTTAGGATGGATCTTTCTATATATGCAAAAAAAAAGGCTTTAGTATTTTATAAGAATTTCATTGACTTTTCAGATCACTTTGGGTAGTATTGACATCTTAACTATATTACGTGTTCCAACTCATAGACATGAAATAGCTTCCCACTTGGGGGGTACCTTCTTCAATATTTTTCAGAAACTTTTTTTA